TCTCACTCTCTACAGACACCTTTCAACCCCTCTTCAACCTCCTAAAAGGGGACAAACACCCTTCATCCAAACGCTCATTCACATTGGAAGCCAACAGGGCATTAGCAGCCATCAACAAATCCTTTCAAGAGATGACCCTATAGCGCTATAAGCCCTCCTCCCCGGTCCACCTCCTGATTTTCAATGGGATTAAAGGCATGCGCCACCACGCCTGGCCCTTGTCTGGTATTTTCTTCTAGGAGTTTCCCAGTTTTAAATCTTACGTAGGTTGTTGGTGATTCCTCCCCAACCCTCATTGGGGGCTCTCCATCAACCTCAAGGAGTCTTTGAATGGCTTCACACCCCTATTGGCAATGCCCCTCGCTTATTAACTGAAATGGACGCTTTGGCTAACATGATATGCCAAGGAAGAAATCATTCCTTACAAACCTTAGGGAAAGAACCTGACAAAATCATCACCCCCTTTTCCCTCTCTAATGTCCAGTGGCTGATCCATAATCACCCCCAGATAGCTGTTAGCCTAATGGGATTTCCAGGACAAATAGACAAATCACTTTCCCAGAGATAATTGGATTGCTGCCCTACCCTCCCTCTTCTGGCCCTCCCCATCTGTTCTCCCAAAGCCCTTTGGAGGAAGCCATTACAATCTTCACTGACGGGGGCTCCTGGGGAGCTGCCACTGTCCTCTCTAAGGATGCCACCCAACCACCCACTGTCCTCTTCCAAAACCTTCCTTAGTTCCCCCCAATATAAAGAATTATATGCAGTCTACCTTGCCCTAAAGGAGGTTCATGAGCCTGCCAGCCTATTTTCTGATAGCATTTATGTCACTAAACTTCTCCCCTGGATCTTGCAATCTTTTGTTAAACTGAACCCAAACCCCTTATGCCCCTTGCTCATTTCCATATCCACCCTTTTAGAAGGACGTAAACAGCCCTTCCATATCCAACATATCTGTTCCCACAGCCCCTTGCCAGGACCTCTTATGGAAGGCAATGCCCTCGCTGACCACATTGCCCCCCATGGGGACTTCCATTCTACCCTTACATAAGCTAAAAGGTTTCACGCTCTTACCCATACAAACCTCAAAGGCCTTCAAGCCCGATTCCCTAACACCCCTAGAGCCCACCTAAAACGGATCCTAAAAACATGCTCCTCTTGTGCCTCATTAATACATACCTCTGCATTGCAAACTCTGGGTACCAACCCCCGTGGCCTGAAGGCAAACACCCTCTGGCAAATTGACATTACTCATGTCCCCCAATTTGGCCGCCAAAAATTTGTTTTTGTTACAGTGGACACATTCCAAATTCATTTGGGCCACCGCACAAACTCAAGAAAATTAAAAAAAACATTGCCCACATGCTCATGACATTTGCCATTATGGGCCTCCCTCGACAGATAAAAACTGACAATGGCCCGGCCTTTGTCAGCTCAACCTTTAAAGCCTTCTGCTCCCACTGGGACATATCCCACCATACAGGAATCCCCTATAATCCCCAAGGACAAGGAATTATCTAAAGAACCCACCAAACCTTAAAAAACCAACTCACAAAACAAAAGGGAGGTAATTACCCTCCCAACATACAACTGTCTATGGCACTAGCTACCTTAAATTTATTCAACATTTCAAAAAATTCAACAGAACCCACCATAGTCCTCCACTGGAAAAAACCGGAACCCTCCCACAGATAATGGTGAGATGGAAGGACCCTCTGAATGGACTCTGGAAGGGTCCTGACCCATTGCTAACAACGGGAAGGGGCTTTGCGTTTTTCCCCAGGATCAACCAAGGCCTATTTGGGTCCCTGCCAGAAATGTCCAACATCTCCCAGCCGACCAAGAAAATGGCCAGACTCTCCCTGACAGAAACAAAGCAACGCAGGAGAAAATGTCACCCAAGGACAGCACACAATGTCACATGGTGGGATGTCTATGACCTGGTTTCACAAGCCCAAGCGGCCTGCCCCCAAAATGCCTCGCTCTCGGTCATTCTCATGGTCGTTCTGGTTATACACCATTCTAACTCTGCTTCAGCCCAGACAGTACTCAGATGGCGGTTCTTGGTCAGGGAAACCTATGAAAAGGCTAACCAAGTCATTGGCACTGCGGACTGCCCCTTAGAGGGGTGCCAAACGGCTGTAACTATCCCCATTCAGCCCTGCTCCGCCTCCAAGCAAATTGGATGCTTATGCATGCTTTCCTTTTAGAAATCTGGGTGACTGCCTACAAGACAAAGACATCTATGGCGGTTGTCGATACCGGTCTTGTCGCACAGAAAAAACCCGAAAACAAATACAGCATTTATAGTGAATATATAGCCAAAGGAAATAAATTTGCAATAGAAATTAAGGACCCTTGGGATGACCGATGGCACACTGGAGTTCATGGCAAGCTTTACAGTAACGGGTTTGGATCATACCCCAACGCTGACATACATATATCCCATCAGCTAGTGCCAGTGCCACAATCAGAACAGATTAAATCACATATCCTCTCTCAAGAGGGTGAGATTAAAAAACAAATTCAAACATCCCTAACTTGGGTTCAATACATCCAATATGCCTCTGACCTTAACCGGCTTTCTTCCCATCCTAATATTTCTCAATGTTTCTTCTGCACCTCTCTCACCAGACCCCTGCTGGCAGCTGTTCCAGCTAACATCTTGATCACTGGAGGGAACACCCAGGAGATGACCACCACCGACCTCTCCCCAACATCCCCCTCTATGACCAGCTCCCTTCCTTGCCTTTTTGTTTTTCAGCACCTCTGCTTTACCCCCCACCTGTGCCTCTAACACATCTATATCCACAGCCCTATGTGCACCTCCCCGGCCCTCTTTTGGTGTAATGGCACTATAACAGCTTGGATCAACCAAACTATTCCTGCCTTTTGTACGCCTGTCATTGTTAACCCCCAACTCTATCTTCTAGAAAAGGAAAAAGTGGCCAATATGATGACAACTCCCCACCGACACAAAAGAGAGGTGTTCATCCCCATGCTCATCGACCTGGGACTCACTCTGTCTGCAGGATCGGTTGGACTCGGGGTTGGGGCGGTAGCGGCTAGGCCACTCCAATCACTCAGCCACCGAATTTCACAGCCAGCTAGAACAAGCTGTGGCATCTATAATCGAGAGAGCCTTGAGGCCTTGCAAAGCCAAATCACATCCCTGGCCGGGGTAGTGCTCCAAAACCAAAGGGCCCTTGACTTATTAACAGCTGAGCAAGGGGGAACCTGCCTCTTACTAAAAGAGGAATATTGTTTTTATATAAACAAATCCGGAACCATTGAACAAGATGTCAAAACTCCCCAAGACCTAAAAAATAGCCTCCAGGCCCTCTCCAATCCAGGAGGGACCCCATGGTTTTCCAAGCCCCTCCTTGCTTGGCTCCTACCCTTGTTAGGCCCCCTGCTAGCCTTATGTGCCCTGCTTCTTGTGACACCCTAATTCAATTTTTCAAAGGTTGCATACAGGACATCATTAAAATCACCACCAACCAAGTCCTGGTCCAATACCAAACTATCCCTAGTACCTTCTCTGATTTTGATGACTCTCACCCCTTATAAAAGACAAAGGAGGAGATGTTGGGATAAGTCAAGAATGCCTAGAATGTAGAGCATGGCTGCCAGGCCGGATAACTCCTAGTGAGGATGGCAGGAAGCTGGCCCACTCAATCCTAGATACACTGTCTCTTACCCAACAACCCCCAAGCAAAACTATTAAGCCTCTAATCCTTTAATCTTAACCAGGTCCCTTGTAGATTATGCAACCAGAGGACAGGACAAAGGCCACGTAGCCTTAGTAGCCCCTTCCTTCCCCCTACCTGCCAGCCTGCCAGAAAACTCAACCCCCGCCTCGGTCTCTCTCCTCGCCCCAACTTCCCGTGAAGGCCTCCCGGTAGCAGTGGGGTGCGGGCCGGGGGGTGGGGGGGCAGTCCTAATTTCATGGAATGTAATGACTATCAACATCTTGTAATCTTCAACCAAGAGCACTACAGTTTTCAGGGTCACTGCCACTTTTACAGATTTGAAAATTACTGAGGCAGAGTAGTGTCATGGTAACTGGCACTGACTCTGAAAGCCTATTAAGCCTAGCTCTGAAGTCTGGATCCACCTCTTACACAAAGCTATGTGACCCTGGACAAGTTTCTTAATACCTCTGTGCCTTGGTTCCCTATCTATAAAGTAGGAATGGTAATAATCATCACAGGATTATCATGAATATTAAATGAATTAATGCACACAGTGCTCAAAGTAGTACCCAGCACATAAGAGTTAGCTAAGTGTTCACTGGTGTGCTGCTTAGCTTTAACTGTCAACTTCCCACCACCTAGAATCACCTGGGAGAAAAGACCCTCAGCTGAGGAGTCCTTGGATCAGGCTGGCCTGTGAGCATGTCTGTGGAGGACTGTCTTGATTATTAATTCATGGTGGTGGGCCCAGCCCACTGTGGGCAGTACTATCTCTAGGCAGGTAGCCCTGAAATATATGAGAAAGGTAGCTGGTATAAGCTGGTCTTCGAGTCAGCTAGCAAGCAACACCCTCCATGGTTCCTGCTGTACTTTAGCTGAGAAGTTCCTTGGACAGAAGTAATTCTGTAAGAAATAGCTAGCAGGCCTGCCTTCAAGTTCCTGTTTTGACTTTCCTCAAAGACGGACTGTAACCTAGAACTGTAAGCCACATAAATCCTTTCCTCCTAAATTGTTTTTGGTCAGAGTGTTTTATCATAGCAACAGAAATGAAACTAGAACAACTGGTATTATCATTGTCGTCATCATCATCATCATCATCATCATCATCATCATCATATCACCACCACCCTCATTCTATGGTAAGGGAAATGGTCATGAGGATCTAGTAAACCAGAAGGTAAAGACACTTTCAATGGCCTCCACAGGGGACAGGGGTTCTACACCATGGCTATTGATTTGTGCTCCAAATCTGTGGCTGCCCAAAAGCCCTTAGAGAAGCCACAGAATGAAAAGGGCCCACAGTACCCGGATCATGACCATGTGAGACTCCAGCAAGATCTCAGGAAAACTAGGCTGCAGCACATCCAGGCTGATGTTTGGCACTAGGGGGAAAATGACAAAAGAAAGGCTTTGTCACAAATTCTGTCCTCACAATATGTCTGTGGTATCCACACTCCCACCACAATCCAAACACTGCCTTCCTGGTAAGTTGACAGGCGGCACTGTGAGGATCATTTACTGAGCTTATGTTAAACATTCATTAGGTACTCAGGACTGCAAAAGAAACAGAAAAGGCCTCCTCCTTGGTGCACTGACAACTCTTGACCCTATCATCTACCACTGTGGCCTTGGCTGCCCTCCTGTTAGGCAGAAAGAACATGAGGACAGGAACCCGGATTTGTCTCATTTACCAACATACCCACAGGGCTCATGTGGTTCCTGGCATACTCAATAAGGAATTTAGTTAATTGGCTGGTTTGGCTATATCAGGTGGCAAGAACAAGATGGTGACTCTGGAGAGGAGAAATCAAGCATAAGCGGGGGGGGGGGGCGGGGGGCAACAAATCCAAAGGCTTACTGAGCTGAAGCTGACACTGAACTGGAAAAGGCAAAGAAGCCTGGGAGCAGACATTGTGATCAATCAGGGCAAGGAACTTAAAGAGGACAAGAAAAAAAATGAGCTAGCAGTGTCCAGACCTCATTGTGAAGACACCGGTGGGGAGAAAAGCAGAAATGGCAACAGTAAGATGCAATAGCAGAGAAGGGAAGTTTCACGTAAGTGTTTTCTCAGAGCTAGCCAGGGAAATGGCCTCAACTCACGTTTGGGATTGATATGGTCCTCCACATTCCAGATGGAGTTGGCAGTTTCCTTGAGGTATGGTGTACAAGTAACTTCCAACTGTTCCCAGCCCCTGATAGAAAAGGAGTCACAGACATCACTCAGCAAACCTGAAATGCCCCAAAGGTAGCAATGTCCACTGCTCTTAAGTCTGTGGAACTCTCTTTTCAAGGCGGTGGTCATTATTTTTTCAACCTCACACTTTAATAACTCACAACTACCCTGAGTAGTTTAACCTTTGCTATTTCCATTTTTTTAAAGGATACATTTAAAAAATATTTTATTTATTATTATTATTTTATGTGTATGCATGTATTGCCTGCATGTAGGTAAGTGTACCCGTGTCCTGCAATGCCCACGGAAGACGAAGAGGCTGTCGGATCCCCTGGAACTGGAGTTAAGGACAGTTGTTAGCTGCCATGTGGGTGCTGGGATTCGAACCTGGGTCTTCTGCAAGAACAGTCAGTGTTCTTAACCACTGAGCCATCTCTTCAGCCCCTACTATTTCCATTTTACAAAGAGACAAAAACCTAGATTTTTAAGCACAAGGCAGATAAACAAATGTCTGACTATCATAACACATAAAACATATGGCTATACCAGAGCTCTATGCACCATAATATTCCTAATGCCTTTTCTTCCATCTACCACCAAGTAAAAGCAAACAAATGAGCACTAATCACTGGTCAGTGGAAGCTTCTGGCATATGCTTTGGAGTATGAAAGGCAAAAATTCTGTCCATTGGGATATCAGGACTGCAGAGACTCACCACTTGGGCAGAATCTTTCCTGAGGATCCAAGGACACAACCTGTGACCAAATGGATGAGGCGAATTCGACTTCTTAGTACTTTGATCCGGTTCCCAAGTTTCCTGTTTACAACCTCAATTCGCCAAAAATCGTTTGAGTCCCCTGTCCCATTCTGCCACATAAACCAAAAGAAAAACACAAAGGTTAGATGATGTTGGAGACAAAGTGTTGGAGACAAAGGAAAATGGTCACGTTTTCAAATTCACCATGTTATAAAGGTTAAATTGACCTCCATGATTGAAGTAGAAAAGGGAATGAGAAGGCCACAGAAACATTCCAAGAGGCTGACGTTGCCTCAACACTTCTGTTACAACAAAACACAGTGTAAGCCTAACCTTCACTTTATAGGACAAGAGTTTAAGTTCTAGATAGATGAATTTGCCCTTAAACCAAACTGGAGACATCACCCTGTGCTAACAGAAGCAGATCTGAGCCACTTGCATACATTATCTTGACCATCTGGAAACTCTCATCCAAGCCAGAAGGGTCTGGCCTGGATAATACACCTTGGAAATTAAGACAGTTGTGTCTAATTCTCCTCAGGGGAGGGCATTGAGAAAAAAAGATGAGGACTTCAGAGTCTTAGCTCTAGTACAATGTGGGCCAAGGAAGTACAAAGAAGATTTGGAAATTTACCTTAAGGAACCCAGACTTTTTTTTTGGTCTTTTTGAGACAGGGTCTCCCTGTAGCCCCAGCTGGCCTGGAACTCACTATGTACAACAGGCTGGCCTTGAACTCACAGAGATCTGTCTACCTCTGCCTCGAAAGTGCTGGGATTAAAGGCGTATACCACCACACCCAGTGGAACCCAGCCTCTTTAATGATGCGTCAAAGGCCTTAGAAGAGATTTTGATGAATAAGTCTCACATAGTTTTCACTAGCTGTTTTTGCTTTCAATTGCTCCCAGGTCATAAGCACTCATAAAATTTTTTCTCATTAAGTACATGTCCCTGAGATAGCAAAATAGAAAGCTATGTGGATAACAGTCCTCTGTATGACAGGGAAGAGATTCTTAAAACTAATGAGAATTTGGTATCTGGAAAAATATAAAACTCACACAGGGATATATTGTAGGTCTTTGGCTTCTATATCCAATGAGATTTTTAAAAAACGTACTATCAGGGCTGGAGAGGTAGCTCAGGCACTAACAGCACTTGCTGTTCTTCCAGAGGACCCAGGTTTGAGTCCCAGCACCCACATGGTGGCTCTGTCTTCCCTTTCTGGCCTTTGTAGGCACTATACTCGTCTCAAAACACTTGTACAAATAAAAATAAATAAGTCATTTTCAGAAACATTGGAGCTGGAGAGATGGCTCAGCTGTTAAGAGCACTGACTGCTCTTGCAGAGGACCCAGGTTTGGTTCCCAGCATCTACATGATGGCCAACAACCATCTGTAAATCCAGTTCCAGAGAACCGGCACCTTCTTCTGACCTCTGTGGACATGGCACACAGGATGCACCTATCTACATGCACATAAAATAAAAACAACAAATAATAAATAAGTTAATAAATAAATAAAATAAATAGAAATATATTATCATTGTGTGTGTACGTGTGTGTGTGTCATGGTGAGTATGTGGCTGTCAGAGGACAATTCTATGGAGTCAGTTCTCTCCTTCCACCTGTATGTGGGTTATGCTCAAACTCAGATCATTAGGCTTGTGTGGCAAACACTTCACCCATCTCGCCAGCCCTGTGTGATTTTTAAGAGACTCAAATGGTATTTATATCTGCCATTTATTAGGTATCAGAATACGTAAGTGACATGGTTACTTTGCAAGGAGAAGGATAGAGACAAAATAGAATTGATCGGCTACTTTTGTCACAGTAAATCTACCTCAACAATTCTGACATCTTAAAGAAATCTATGTGTAGCCTCCAAATTCTTAGGAACATTCCAGAATTCTGGGGAGGGTATGTCCTACCACATGGTAATGAACCAAAGCTCACAACTTTTTATATTCACCCTGCTTACACCCTGCTATTTACTTACTATGCCATAGCCAGTAACCTGATAGTGCTTCCGGGTCAGGGGGGCCTCATGATAGTGACTGTGCAAGTTCCGAGATGTCCTAGAGATTAGAGAAGAGCTGTTATCTGAAGAAAGAGATATTTAATGCTGCTTCTTTTACTTAGAATATACAGTCCTCTGTTGTGATTAGAAAAAAATAGAATCTGAACTATTAATTCCAATATACCAGGAATTTATCATGTATTCACTTATGAAAAAATATTCTAGAGGAGACAATCTCAAACAGACACAGACAGATGGCAGAGCACTGGACCGCAATGCCAAGAAAGGGGATAACTTCCAGATGTTGGTGGGGTGTCAGGGCGGCCTTCACACATTTGGTAGTTTTGAACCATCTGGCTTTGACTGACTTAGGAGGCAGGTCCGGGGAGAAGAAATGAACACCTGGAACGTATACATACGTAAGATAAGTAAACCTCCCCATTCCCTCTACTCTTTCTATTCTCATCATCATTTAAAAACACTTTTATTGATTCTTCAGGGCTTTCATACAATGTGTTTTGATCACATTCAGACCCCTCCCTGTCTCCACGCCATCTTATTAGTTCCCCACTCTGACTTCATGTCCTCTATTATTATTTTTCTTTTTTAAAGGCCTATTGAAGCCGGGTGTGGTGGTACACACCTTTAATTCCAGCACTGGCAGGCGGAACACTGTGAGTTCAAGGCCAGCCTGGTCTACATAGCAAGTTACAGGCCAGCTGGGGCTATAGGGAAGACCCTGTCTCAAAAAGACAAATAAAGAAAAAGAAAGGAAGAAAGGAAGGAAGGAAGGAACAAAGGAAGGAAGGAAGGAAGGAAGGAAGGAAGGAAGGAAGGAAGGAATCCAATACAATAAAATCTTTTTTTAAACAAAGGCCTACTGAGTCTAATCTGTTTTCCCCAAATGCTCTCGGGTGTGGGTGCATCCCTTGGAGTCTGGTCAACCTACCAGGCATCAAACTAGTAAAGAAAACCAACTCTCCCTCTCCCAGTGGCTACCAATTGCCAAAAGATCTTCAGCTAGGGTGGTGGGTTCTTCTTGCCTGCCTCCCCATCCATGGTCATTTTTGTCTGACTTGGGCTTGCATGGGTCTTGTGCATGCTGTCAAAGCACCGTGGGTTCATATGTGCAACTGCCCTGTGGTGTCCAGACAACACTGTCTCCTTATATTCATCTACTGGCTCTTACATTTTTCTGCCCCTTCTACAATGATCCCTGAACCCTGGGAGGAGGATGTGATATAGTATCCCCCTAATCTTTTTATTAATTTTTTTTTTGAGACAGAGTCTCCCTGTAACCCCCTAGCTGGCCTGGAACTCACTATTGGAAACCAGATTGCCTCAATCTCAAAGAGTGCTGGGATTAAAGGTATGTGCCACCATGCCCAGCTCAGGTTTCCCATTTTTTGAAAGTGGGGGTTTGTAAGGAATGAGGAGGGGATTTAATTTATTTTTGATGTACTTAACTTTTTATAACAACTCTTGCTTTTATCCACAAGTAATAGTCATTATATAATTTGGGGGAATTTAAATATAATTCTATTAATTTATGAATGATAAATTGAGATCTATTTAATAGAAATTTAAAGTACCTAAAAACCCAACTGACTACGGAAAAACAGTCTACTACTTCAATACACATACCCACACCTGGGTTTTCAAAATCTTTTATCAGATAAGTCAAATGTATAAAATCTTTTGAGGGCTGTTTCTGCTGGTGGCTACTTCGTTTGTTCTTGTGCATACTGTCCCATTTCCTTGAGTAACATACTTTTATACATTATTCACTGTTGTTGAAAACTATTTATGGGGATGAATTCCAATGTCTTTCCCAAAGTATGAGTAACTCTGCTTTTGGTCAGGTACCCAGAAGACATTAGCATTTAAGACTATGTTCATTTAAACTCATGGCTTAAAGATGTTGACGCCACTTAGGTGACAAGAATGTGAGCTACAGACCTAAGTGAGGCAGTTACGCCTAGGGTTCCCTTCCCAACCTCCAACATTCTGCTCAGCCTAAAGCCACTTTTCCTGGGGTAAGCGAATGGGGCAGATATACTTGTACCCTAAGTTTTTGGGTTCCAGATCTTAAGACTCAATGAAGTTACCACTTTAGAAGAAGCTAGAACTTTGACTTAAAAAAACTTCCCTTGAGCTGGGCATGGTGGCAATGCCTTTAATCCCAGCACTTGGGAGGCAGAGGCAGGCAGATCTCTGTGAGTTCAAAGCCAGCCTGGTCTACATAGTGAGTTCCAGGACAGCTGGGGCTACAGGGAGACCCTGTCTCAAAAAGACCTGAAGGGGAAAAAAAAAATTCTCTCAAGAGGCAGTAAAACAAAAGATAAAAACTCAAGACTTGAGGAATCAGGGGGTAGCTACAGGGTTTCATTTATTCTTTGGATTCCTGCTTTCATTTAGATTTCATTTAGAGCCAAGGACTCTAATATCTTGTCAGCTTTCCTATGCTTTTAAGCAGTTTTTGTATCATCCCAGTGTTTTCAGTGAAAACATTCATTTCAGTGAAAACACAGTAAAATAAACTAGTGTACCATATTCTCAGAAACAGATGCTTACAATTTCTAAAAGTTAAGTAACCACTTAAGAAGCAGCTTTTGGCAACCAAATCTTATCTTTTCTTTCAAGGGAAAAGGGAAACTGAATGGTCTCTTCAAAGGTCAAGGCTCCTCAGGGCCAAAATCAGCAGGCAAAAGCCATCTTACTATTCCTTTTCATACCATGCAAGGATCTCTCACTCTAGCAGAGCAACCTGGTTCCATTACTAGAGTCTCAGTCTACTGTCCTTACCATTTAAATTCCAACCACCAGCATTCACTTACTCTTTGTGTTCTAGTCGAATGATGTCTCCATGTCTGACGAACTCCACTGGGACTGAAGGGTCAATGGGATCTGCCAAGAAGAAACAAGTGTGGACATTGAATCCCTCACACTAAGCTAGTGACCACTGAAGGCCTGCTGGAAAACAGCTACAGTACCATGTGGTACGTGCTTACAGTGCTAACAGTGTGCTGTGGAACCAGAGGATAAGGTTCTCCAGCCACCCCAGAGGATGAGAAAGGGATGTTACACAGATAATGCTTCGAAGACTTGTAAAAGAAGGAAGGAACTCTGTCGGGTGAATAAGCAGGAGAAAGATATAAGGATGTGAAAGAGTCAAGCTCATTTGGACAATGGCAAAAGAGCTTAGGCCGTTAAGGTGTATGTGCAGGAATGGTATGGGAACAGATGAGGGTATAAACAAGTGGGGCCGGGCTGGCAATATGACCTTTATCTGACAGGCACTGAAGCCCCCATAGGAACTTAAGGTGAGAGGCTAAAAAAATGAGATCTTCCTTTTAATAGTAGTAATATAGTCTCCCCCAAATTAAGTTCACGTACTAGCTAGCCCAGGTCTCCTCAAAATCAAATTCTATCTCTATTAACAGACTTCCTAAGTATGAGGTGAAAACAACAATCAAACACTGAAAGAAAAGGACGACTTTCCAGGCATCTAGAAGCCATGACAGATCAGGGCCTAGAAAGGCAGCAGCATGAAAAGAGAGCTGGTGGTCATCACAGAAAAGCAGAACGCACCCCTGTAGATTTATGTCCCTAATAGTGAGACACCATGACTATATAACCAGATTAAAGTCAGGAAAGCTAAATTTGCTACTGAAAATTACAGGTTCTCAAGAGAACCAGAGACTCATTTGTACCAATGCCCACTGCTATGCTGGCTTTTAAAGTTTTTTCAGATTAATTAGCAAGATCATAAATCCAGTAAGTCAACAGGGAGGGAAGTTTTATTTCATATGGATTGGGACAAAGGGCCTTTATAGCCAATAAGAACACAAAGAACCTCAGACTACAAAGCTCTCAGGAAACCCTTAGTTGAGTAGATGAAATGCAACCATCTTAGCTTAGAAGCCACAGTGGAGACTAGACACACTCTAAAATTTGGTTAACTTTGAGTGTCAACTGATCGTCCTCAAACTTATCATTATGACCACTTATGCTTCACTTGTTGAATCAAAAACACAATAATAGCATTACAGGGGTGTTTACATCGACTCAGGTCAATTTACTGAGGATGCAAACGAAGACGCGAAGACAGTGACTGTGTGTATGTTTCTAGTGGCTGTGTGTGTTTCTAGCCTAAAACGGCAGTAAGAGAAAATGGAGAGAAAAATGTATTTAGATGAGCAGCTGTCCATAACCCCAGACTTGGAGCAGCAGGCTGGGGCCAGGCTCAGGCCGAGGGTGTTTGCTCAGTCAAAGAATGCCCGTGGCTTAGGGTATTACCAGCGAGGATGGGCTCAAGTGCTAACTGTTCTCTGCTCACAGCTACAACAGAAGACACTGCAGGTAACTAGCTGCCTTCCAAAGACAGGAAGATCCTGACACAGTTCTTGCTTGGTCCTAAAGCCAGAGAGGCCAGGAAGTATGTTTCAGAATTCCTCTGCTCAGACCAGTTGGCAAGCGTTAAGTGACATAGCCAACACTAGCCTAGACAAGCTGGGGCATAGGCTAGCAAGCCTGCAGACTATCAAGTGACTGACCCAGCTCAGGAATGAGAAAGGGCAGCACTCTATCTTATCAGGACTATAGCCGGGATATGCATAGTGCGCTCTGCATCAGAAATGAAAGCACTAGGCACTGGGACATGCTTGCATACCCTTTTCCTGGATGAAACCTGAGCCTTGGCCCTGCTCTCTGGCTTCAAAGTAACAAGGCTACAAGAGAGACCCTACCTGTTTTACTCATTGCTCATCCTCTGTATCTTCAATTATGCGTGCAACAGAGTAGGAGCTCAACAACAGTTGTCAAAGGATGACTGAAATCAGTGAAGATGTCCAGTGCCATTCTTTTGGAGGCATGAGAAATGTGAAGTAGGGTTCAGTAACAGCACAAGAACCATCAGTTCCTGACCACATTACCTGAGTTTGTATTATGTTTCTTGATAATCCACAGATTGTTGTAGTCCTTATGCAAATAGGTGGTGACCTAAGGGGAAGGCAGAAGGAGGAGGGGGTGGGAGGGAGAATACCATGACAATCAGCATAGCTGGCCAAGCATAACAACCCCCAACAAACCAACATCACTTGAGCATCTTTTAGAATCCCCAGCCACCAATCAAGAGGCCACATTTCCCAGCAGGTCTCAGAAGCAGCCCTCCCAGATGAAATTTTTCCCATCCTTCAGGATATAGAGGGCCAGCCCCTCAAGAACTTCTGGACTTACCTCTTTCTTTTTTATGCATCTTATCAACAGAGTTTCAGCTTTCTTGAGAGAGGCACATGATGCCATATGTTAATAGTCTCCAGCGCACACGCAGGAGAGTTAGTGCATTTTTAAAATTTTATTTATTTATTTATTCATTCATTTATTTATTTTTGGTCTTTTTGAGGGTCTCCCTGTAGCCACAGCTGGCCTGGAACTCACTACATAGACAAGGCTGGCCTTGAGCTCACAGAGATCCACCTGCTTCTGCCTCCCAATTGCTACAATTAAAGGTATACATCACCACACCCACCTGATTTAGTGCATTTTTAAAAAAGTGAGACAGGATTAGAGAGATGGCTCAGGGATTAAGAGCACTTGCTGCTCTTCCAGTGGACCCATGTTTGTATCCAGCACTGATGTGGTGGCTCATAACCATCTGTAACTCCATTTCCAGGGGATCAAATGCCCTCCTTCTGGCTCTGCAGGCACCAGGCACACACAAGGTACACTTACACACATGTGGGAAAACCATGCATTCACATGAAATAAAAAATAAGTAAGTTAAGACACTGCCTCAAAAATTTCTAAATAAGCTGGTTATGGTGGTAACATGTCTTCAGTTTCAGCATTTGAGAGGCAAAGGCAGGCGGATCTCTGCAACATCAATGCCAGCCTGGTCTACATAGTGAGTTCCGGGCCTACTGGGGCTACAGGGAGACCCTGTCTTAAAAACCAAACTTTCTAAATGAAGGCACTGGGCTGGGGAGATAGTTCAGTTGGTAAAGTACTTGCCAAATAAACATGAGGACTTGAGTTTGATCCCCAGCACCCACATGAAAAAAAACGACAGGCCCACAATCTTAGAACCAGGCAAGCAGAGGATCCTGAGGTGCACTGGCCAGCCATTTTAACTGAATCAGTGAGCTCCAAGATCAGTAAGAGACACTCTCAAAAAATAAGGTAGAGTGTGATTGAGGAAGACACCTGATGTCAACCTCTGGTCTCCACACACACACACATGCACCCACACGTACACACCTCACACATACTTCCAAGAAATAATGCTATTGTTTTTGTTATAATGTGGCTAAATGAAACTAAAAAACTTCATAAATATCTCATCCTAAAGTTTTAACCTATAGCCATTTTATAGACACCGATTTAAAAAAACAGTACACGTGCTCATCTGACTGTCTATAATGCTTCAACTGATAACAGCAAAAAACTAGACACAGTATGAACATCTATTAAGAGGACTAGTTACTATGACACTATGCACATAGAATAGAATATTATGCGGTGATAAAAATGTTCAAGAGTATTTTTTTAAAGCTGCATGCAAAAGGATCATGAAATGGTGATGTTGAAAATGGCCACCATTTATCATCAGGGACCAGGCAAGTCTTACCTTATTTAATCATTATTATAGCTCTGGGCTGTAGGTGCTATCACTTCCCCAAAATTATTTATAAAGAAACAAGTTAGGTCATTTGCTTATGGTTTGGGGAGACAGGATTCCAACCAGGGCAGCTAACTTCAATGCTCCCAAGAGAAAAGATAATCAGATACATACAGATTAGAGATGCATGCACCAACATCTAAGTGTTATTAGCAAAAACAATGAGTCTTTCTCTAAGAAACAGTATATTTTAAAATGAAATGGAGATCTTTTTTAAAGGTTAAAAACTCATTCAATTTTATGTCTTACAGGGTTTATACTGAGCTCAATATTGTATTAATTCTGTATTAATTCAGCTGTGAACCTAAAAATTTTATAGCCACTTTTGAAAGAGATGCATTTTTGCTCTGGAAATTGTTATTGAGTATGTTAAAGCTGTAATGAAATGCTTCTTTAAAAAAAATTATATATATAATTATGCCAGGCATGGTGATGCAAGCCTTTAATCCCAGCATTCTCTGTGAGTTCAAGGCCAGCCTGGTCTACATATTAAGTTCTAGGTCAGCTGGGGCTACAAGAAGAACCTGTCTCAAAAAGACAAAAATATATATATACAATTACACCAAACATGTAAACACTATAGAAACATCTGGAAACAATAAAATATAGTCATTTCTTCCGAGTTTTTAAAACCCCCGAAATGGACACAACATGACCAATTTACTTGCAGAGAACTGAAGCTAGTGCAGGAAAGTCCCTTTGTATGCATTACAGCTAGACCTGGGCAGCTTCTGCTTTGTTTCTCAAGGAAAAAAATGATATTAAGACTATATAAAAAAGCTGGGCGTGGTAACACACATCTGTAGTCCCAGCACTTGGGAGGCAGAGGCAGCCCTATCTCAAAAAGACCCAAAATCAAAAACAAAAACAAAACAAAACAAACAACAAACAAACAACAACAAAAAAAATATATATAAAATGATAAAATGAGAACATTCTGGTTTACACTGAGAAAAAGCTAGATATAGGCCATCCAGTTTGAATCTGGGCATACACCCTGAGGCTATTTCTGGAGAAGGAATATTTTTGTTTAAAGAGTCACTGTTAAAATTCCTCCAAGAAAAATTATTTCTTTATGGTAAATATAGTCTCCAATCCACAGAAATGTATGTTTTTATGGACGAGTTTTTTATATCATGAAGTTTGTCTCTTATATCACTGCCTCTGAGACCTCTGCCCTTCCCTGTCCACCTCTGTCAGTTACAGGCCTTCTAACTGCTGACCACTTCCTCCCTTCAGAGGCCCTCGCTCCCTACACTCCCCTACATGCATCCTCCAACCTCCCCAGACACTCATTCAGTCTCTGCTACTAGTTCACTGAGTGGCCTTAGACACACCCCTGGAATGTTGGTACTCCCAGAGTTCCCTCACCGGCCTTCCCTCCCTGCAGTTTTTTTGTTGTTGTTTTTTCTAATTTTTCTTTTTTATGTGTATGTGTGCATTGTTTGCATGAGGGTAAGTGCACCCGTGTCATACAATGCCCTCAGAGGTCAGAAGAGGCTGTCAGATCCCCTGGGACTGGAGTTATGGACAGTTGTTAGCTGCCATGTGGATGCTGAGATTCGAACCCAGGTCTTCTGCAAGTACAACCAGTGTTCTTAACAACTGAGCCATCTCTCCAGCCCAGCCTGAAGTTTTTTTTTTTTTTTGGCCAATACTACTCATTGTCTAAGACAAGTCCCAAAACTAATATACAAGAAAAACTCTCCTTCTACCTCCAAAGCTATTCATCTGCTATTTCTGATTATGATCAAATAACATCAGTACACATATACTTTACATCTTAACCACAGATCCAGACGCAGCTCCTCCTGACATCCGTCTATTACCAGGCCCTAACATTACACCTGTGAAGTGTTTCCTGAATCGGTTCCTACTTCTAACCTCATGGCCTTTGCCTCCAGGCAGCATCCTGTCATAATCACTGCCTCCTAACTGGTCCTTTGCAATCTACCACATTCCTGCTAGAGTTACTTTTCTAAACATAGATCTAATCACATCTCATTACTTAATCACTTTCATGCCTCCCCAATGTCTAAAGAACAGACTTTACTGTTACAAAGGCCACCAAAACCCAATCTGGCCTCACCAACCTCTCCAACATCCTACTTCTCCCTCTCAGGCACCTTACACCAGAGCCACAATGGAACACTTCCTAATGCGGACACCCTTCATATGTGTACTTCACATGTGTTAGCTCATTAAATTTTCTCAACAAATCTATAGTAGAAAGGAACACTTTATTTTCCCCTATGATGAGGATATTAAACCACAGATGATTAAGAACTTTGCCCAAAGTCAAACCCGTATAGAATCAGGATTCAAACCCAAGAAATCTAGTTTGGTTTCCAGGTCTGTGGTCATGACTTCGATACTTTCCTCATCACCCTCCAGGCCAGGAACTTGTGCTAGGCATTTGAGTCTTCCAGGAGCAGGCAAAATGATGGGAGGAGCACACCCCCACAATCCCTGTAAAAGGTTACCCTAGAGGCAGGCAGGAGTGCCAAGAAAGTCAGTAAGGGGGACACCTATCCTAGTATGAGGGAGGAGGGATCATGGTGGGTCCCCTGAGCTGAAACCTAAAGAAGCTGGGTGAGCCAAAGGAAGGAAGAGGGTGCAGAAGCAAGGAGAACGGTTCAGGCAGGGAACAAGGGTAAGTTAAGGATGAGAAGAAAGCAAATGGCAGGCTGAGTAATGGTGACACTTTAGTGTGGCTGCAGCCTAATGCACAAAAGCTCACCCACCTGCTGCTGGCGAGCACCAATGCCCTCAGGGTAGAGGTGCCTGTGGGAGTGCAGGTATCCGATGGCCATCCGAAGATTCTTCACAGTGATCACAGAGCCGTAGGCCAGGTCTGGAGGAAGAAAGACATAGACAGGTGACAGGCTGCCTCTACCTGTCAGTGAAGGGGTGGGGTAGGCTCTAAAGCCATAAGCCCCACAAACCCTCTTAGAGACTCCATGAGGCCCAGACCTTCCTTGAAGCAGGAGGCCCAGTTGCCTTCTCACTCCAATGGAAGAAACTCAAGAGGGAGCTCCCACATGTTCTCATGTGTCCCTCCCCTGCTTTCCTAAGGACTGCAGGAAAAGCTGGGTGTGAGCACCATCGTTATTAAAGCACTAGCTATAAATGCCTGGATTAAAAACAGCAAGGTCTACACACAAACCCAATGGTATAAAGAAGAAAGAATGACCTTGTCTTTGCCTGGAATAGTCACCAAAATGTTATATGATGACAGACTTTTAATTTTTTGAAATTACATTGTGTGTGTGTGT